TTACCAATGTGAGCGCTATTGGTAATTTTGTGTCATCACTTCACGACTTCCCTTGTTCTCGGACAAATTTTGCAGCTTTTTTTTGTCACCACTCATATGGTTTGAACATCCCGAGTCAACAATCCAGTCATTCTCATAGTCAATTTGCTTAGAGGTTGTTACTGTAAGAGCTAACTCCTCTTGTTCTACTACAAAGAACACTTCAACATCCCAATCATCTTCACTATTTTCCTTTGGACCGGAGGTAGCAACATCATTGCTCTCAACAGTCCCCTTTTTGAACCATCAAATATTGGCTTTATGTCCCTTCTTCCCACAGTTATGGCATTGCCCTTCAAACCTCTTGTGTTGAACCTATTGTTCTTCGAACTTCCCCCTGGACGAGAGCTTCCTTCTCCTTGATGACTTTTTGACTTATCATCAATTCGTTTTGATCCATTGGCATTGTACTGCTTGGGGTTTTCTCTGCTTTTGTTGATGTAGAGTGCTTCCTCCTCGCCTTTAAGAGAGACTCCGCTCATTTGCTTAGCCAAGGCTTCCTGACATGCTAGCAAATTCTCAAATTCTACAAGTGATGGCTGATTTTTCCATCCGTGTACAGCAGCAATGAAGCTTATATATTTATGTTTCAGACCATGGATGATAATCCGCTTCATCCTCGTCTCTTCAATTGGATCTTGTGGTTCTAACTCTGAAATCTCTCGACATAGCATCTTAACCTTATGAAAGTATTGTGCAATTGGCATGATGCATTGTCCTATCGAGAGTAATTCACTCTCTAGGAGTTGGAGCCTTGTATAATTTTTCTTTGAAAATAGCTTGGCTAATGTATCCCAAGCTTGCTTTGGGGTGGTGGCGTATCGTATGTGCTATAGCACATCCTCTTCGGTCATTGTTTTCAAAGCGAACATAGCCTTACCAACTTTTATCTTCCACTTTCGCAGAGTGCCGTTTGCATCTTCGCCTGCTGGTTGTGTCACCTCGCTACCGTTGACAACCTCCCACAGATCTTGCCCTTGCATATAAGACATTATGCAAGTTGACCATGTACTATAATTGCTGTTGTTGAGCTTTTTCATTCCGCCGACAGCTTGTAGGTTTGTCATTGTGTCAGCAACAATAGTCTCAAGAAAAAAAACTACATTAAATGATCTCACAAGGAACAACCTTGCTCTTGATACCAAATGTAGAACTTAAGCTATAATAAGCTCAAATAAAAATGTCTGAGAAAATAGTTTCCAGAGAATAAGAACAATGGACTAATCTTGTATTCAGTCAGTTAATGATCTTATATAGAATTACCACTTTAATAGAGTAACATTCCCACTAAACCACTAACTAATCCACTAACCTAACTCTCCTAAACTTTAGGAACACATTTCTGCAATACTACGAAATAGGAAAAACTATCAGAGTTAAAAGAAAACAAATACCAATTGAAAGCTAAAATACAACCATACTACATACTTAGTCAAATTAAACTAGGAATGATGTTGTCAACTTTAACAGTCCTTTGAGATCCTATGTCCTCACAAATAAAATGTAATATGTTTTGCAAATTATTTGTTTTAATATAAATTTTGGGTCACACATAATTGATGCTCGAGCATCCACTATACTTTGGCCTACCCTAGGTCCACCTCTGAACAAAAAACCATTGATATAAAAGGAAAAAAGGTATGGTATATTTCTTAGCTTTGCGATGTAGAATTGATATATCTCTCATTAAAAAAAGGGATTCACATATTTCCTTACTATTACAAAGTTAATCACATGTACCCTTTTTTTCTAATGGAAGCAAAAACATTCTTTCAAGTTTATATCTTTTAATTTTTTATTAAATCCATATAGGGGTATATATAATTGTTCTAACTTCTAAGAAAGTTCAGGATATATTTTATCTTTTTTCATGTTTTTTTTACTTCTATTTTTCAACTGCTAATTTGAATTTTAAATATCTCCTTTATATATGTATTTGCTTATTATTATTTGAATTTGTTGTTCTTATTTAATCTTTTCATTCATTGTTAGTATAAAAATGTGAGAATTAAGATAGGAGACGTTTGTGTATTATACATTTATGTTTTCATTCATGATTAGATGCATTTAGTTTAAAACGATTGGTCTACACAAGATTTCAATGGTGCTTTGTCTCTTTCTTTTAATTAACTATTAAAATGCTACAATTAATTAAACATTGAATTGTTCGATCATTTGGATGATTTCTGCAATAAAACATCCGAGATTATTATTTTTTGTTGAGGGATGGTTTGGCAAGGTGTATAAAAATAATGTTAAATAGAGTGTATTAATAATATTTGTATTAGTAATGCTTGTATTGATATTCTTATTTGGCTAGCATATTAAAAATAACATGCATTGCATAAAAATATTTATTGTTTTATTTATAAAAATATCCATAGACCATAATTATGGTAGAAGAGATGTAAAAAGGATTTGAGGAGTAATTAGGTCTTTAAACATGTTAATGCATGCATTAAACTCCCTTGCATTACTTTTTTTCAAAAAAAAAAAAATGGGGGTGGGGGAAGGGAAATAGGGGAGAGGATTGCAATATGGGAATATATCAGACCCTCACCAACAAGGTGAGAATTCAGGTAACCAATGTATATCATTTTGGCTAACAAATAATGACATTAATGAGTTTTTTCTCAAATGAAAATGGCATAGATAAACCAATTTTTTAACGGATGACATAAATGAGTCTTTTCACAAAGTTTGATGACATATTTGAGTCTTTATCAAATTATTAATTGAAAAGAATGTATGCAAAATGTAAAATTAAAAAAAGAAAAAAGAAAATAAATAAATAGAAATGGTGATCAATAATATGCCACATAGGGGTCTACATGACCGGATTGGTTGGGTTTTTTAAATATCAAATTAAATCATCTGTGTTGAATTTTTTAATTTAAAACCAAATCAAACTAATAAAATTCAGATTTTTCAACTTCATGATTTCTGTAAAGTAATCATACAAACAAATAATTAACTTGTTTTCCTAATATTTCTTTAGTCCTACCTAAATAAAACTATCTAAAGTGTTTCTTAAGAAAATAACACAAAATATGAGATGAATGATGACACAAAAATATTCAATAAAAATATAATAATAAAATCGCATAAAAGAAATATTGCAAATTAACAAGTCATAATAAGTATTAGTTACATGATTAAACATTAAAGAAAAATTAAAATTAGGTTATGTATTTAAAATGTGTAAACCAATGTAAAACTAAAGAACAAATATTCAACATTATTGTTTTACTTAGTGTTGAATTAATTTGTTTTGTTAGCAATAGTATTGATTTGATTTTGATTTGAGTTTCATTGAGTTACTAGTATCTACGAACCATAGCCTTTTATTAGACCATTCAAAATTCTAGGTCTCAAAAACTTGAAATAATATGTTAAAAAGATAAAAACTATGAAAAAGTATAAGAAATATTTAGAATTTATATCAAGTAACTATGTTTATGTATAAAATAAAATTTAAAAGTCATATATACAATGTGGGGTTGATTTTTATTAGTTAAAACCAAACTAACGCAAATATAGTCGGGAGTTTTTTCAATACCAAACCAAACCATTAGTCTGATTTTTTTTTTTTATTTGAGTCAATTTGCAGTATGATTCAATATTCAGTTCAATTTTATACACCTCTAATGCCACATCACTTTGTCTATATATAACTTTATTATATATATATATATATATAGATTGTTCGATTGCGAGAACATGCATAGTATAGATGAAAATCATCCATAACAGTGTGTATATTGGTGCAATTAGGGTTGTTCATGGTTATGGTTAAAAAAATAAATCGAACCGCAATTCGAATCAAACCGATTAAAAAACTCGATATTTGATTTGATTAGGTTTGATTTTACATTTTGAAAAATCGATACTATTTGGTTTGATTTTGGTTTTACTAAAAAATAACCAAACCGAACCGATAAATAATTAGATATATAAATTTTATAATTATCTATATATTATTCATAAATAAAATATAAATATTTTGTTAAATTTTAAGTAACTTAAGTTTTAACTTTACCATTTTCTCAAGCCAACATGTAAATTTTAGTCCATCTATTACAATCATAAGTCCAAGTCTATCAAAATTTATTACTTTAGTCTTTACCTACCATGTCTTCCGTAAGACAGTTACACCTTCTCTTAATTGAATCACTTTGTTCGTGTAATGATAACTTCAGTATTGTTTAATTGTTTAATTGAACCAACAATAGCTTTTCAGTGGATCGTTCATGTACTAAGTGTTTGTGTCAATCAAGATACGTATGTCCACAAAAATTTATTACTTTCAAACTAAAAAAACCAGAAAAACTGAACCAAATCATCAATAATCAAACTGACGGTTATTTTTTTCGTATGGTTTGATTTTAGAAATTCAAAAAACCGACTAGATTGGTTTGATTTTGATTTTAACCAATAACCGATCCAAACCGAACCACGAACACCCCTAGGTGCAATCTTCAATTGTCCGATTTTAAAATAACAAAGTTAGCAAAGTGTTTTACACATTTCTGGTTTGTAAAGAAGAACATACAGTTGGAACAAATAATTATTAGTCCCTCCATCCCAATTTATGTGACACTTTTCCAATTTCGAGATTCAAACAAGTCTATCTTTGACCGTAAATTTTTCATATATCTTTTAATTATTTTGAACTGTCAATTATTGTGACTTATAATACTTTTACGTAGTTTACAAATATATAAATTTCATTTAAAAAAATAGAAGATTCCATACACAAATTTTCCATCAAACTTCATTTGTTTAACTCTCAAAGAACATAAAGTATCACAAACATTGGGACAGAGAAAGCATAATGCATCGAAGGATATATCAAGTAACCAAAGCATAGGAAGGTAACAAAACGTTTAGGTCTACACTATATAACGTGCCAACAAAATCCTTAACACATCAAACTTAAATCGTGAATCGGTCTCTCTGTTCTAGAGTGATGAGAAAATGGGGACACCGGTTAAGCTACATCCGCTATCAACAATGAAAATATTGCCCGATACATATTTTGATGAATCAAGGTTTAAATACCTTACGACTGATGTTATAGCTGGATTTGTCGTTCCAAAATCTCTCAAAGGAACAATTCTCGAAACAACTGGTTTGTACGATTCCTTTTGAATAAGACTCTCTGTTATCTCAGATCTGAAAATTGCTGGTGCTATTGAGTTCACTCTAATATTGTTTACTCCCATTTCAAGTGCCATCATCTGCAATAATTCGAAGAAATTAAATGGAAAATTTGATAAAACGTCAATGCCTAGCTCATAACGTACCCTAGTGAACATGTCCAGAGCCATCTTTGAAGAAGCGTAAGCAATAGACCCGGGCAATAGTACCCGATTCAGACCAGAAACTGAAGAGATATTAATAACAGATCCTCCGCCCTGTTTAGCATCGCGCATGCGTCTACAGACGTATTTTGACACCAACCATGCCCCTCTGAGATTCGTGTTAAAGGTATGTTCCCACTCCTTCTCTGACAATTCTAGTGAAAAGCTCACACTACCTATATAAATATATTATATGATATTATCAGTGACGGAGTCAGAAATTTCACAAAGGGTGTACAGAAACAACAACTTATGCATTTAATTATTTCGTGTATCATTTTACTTATATATATATGGTAATATTTTCTCTTTCCGATGAAGGGTGTCCAATTTACCACCATGTGGCTACGCCACTGGATATTGTTACTGTGTTGACGTGTGTAATCATTGATGTTATATGAAGCTTAATTTATCTTTTTTGAGAGATTACAATTATATGCAACCATACCTCTAATGCCAGCGTTGTTAATCAAGGTATCGATACGTCCAAAGGCATTCCAAGCTATTTGTACAGCGACCTCAATGGTAGCACCATTGGACATGACATCAAGCTCGAGGGCGAATGCTCGCTGGAGACCCTCTGAATTAATGTGGTTGCAGAGAGATTTCAACATGTCAATACGACGAGCAGCAGCGATGATGCTGCAACCGGCTTTGGCCAAGTCGAGACACAACTCTCGCCCAATTCCAGACGACGCCCCTGTAACCATCACTACTTTCCCCTTCAGGTCTTTCCACGACTCCATTTTTCTTAGGGAATTGGGAAGGATAATATAATGTTATAAGGTAGGAAGTTATATAGAAAACATGATGTGTGTTATATTGCACTCCATTTACTTTTTGGGCCAAAAATGTCCTTTGACCTTAACTTTTTCGGACATAAATGACCTCATTGCTAAGTCCACAATCATGAGGTGGATGCATGATAATATTGTACAAAATTCCATGTACTTTTTTCGTCTAATAGAAGTGAAAAAATTAATTTTAAATAATTTTTTTAATTATATATTTTAAAAAAATATTAACCTAAATGCTGAGGTGACATCTCATGAAGGCCAGTGAAAAGCCAAAAAAATGAGAAAAGTTTGATCAATATTAGACGAAATTTTTTATTTTGTACAACGCACACTTATTGTAAGTTGTATGAGGGCATCTTTGGCTGCCATTTGTATATTCTGGGATCCACTGGCTACTATTTACTTATTTCAATTTCCTACTTTTTCCCTTCTTCAATTTTAATATTTTCTCTTACTTTTTCTTTCTCATCACGCAGTCTTCTTTTTTCAGCTTCTTTAACTCTTAACTTAATTTTAATTTTAATTCATTGAGAAACTTTGGGTTTAAAAATAAATGGGCGGAGAATAAATTAAAATAATATATAAAATTTAAATTCTATTTTTGGATGAGTTTGAAGAAGTTAATGATAGTGAAACTAAAAAATAAATTGAACTCACATCAACAAAGTATAAATTTATATAGTCAACTAATTAAACTACTAAAATTCAACCGACTTTAGTTATTACACTTAAATATACAATCTAATTTTAATTGCTTAAATTTTGGTCATAATTTATTTTTTGGGTTTCAATCTTAATTACTCAATTCTTAATTATTAAATTTATTTTTTGTTTATTTTATAACCACTTAATATATCTGAATACTTAATATTTATAATAATATGTTAATAATATTAAGCACCCAATTATCTTTTATTCATTTTATATTTGTTAAATTCTTTATTTGCTTGGCATCAATACGATAATATATTATTGCTAATATTAATTTTGTGTTTCTTGTTCGAAATTTTCTCTTTGAATTTTCTTTATACTTGATGTTTTAAGATATGAAATGAAAATTTTAAAGATTCAATTTTTTCCGATGTTACAAAAATTAATAGTAATATCAATACTTTTTTTTTGCACTGAGAGTTAGGACTTAAAAAAAAAAAAAAGATCTATAGGAATGTTGGTAAAAAAAAGGTGCAGAAATAAAATAAAAAAATGTAAATGAAGAACAAACTAAAATTTGAGAAAATGGAAGACTGAGACAAAAAGTGTGACAAAGAAAGGGACCCACAAATACACTTGTCAAAAGCAAATTGTGCCCTCATATATCTATTGTTGGTTGTACCTCAAACATCATAAGTTTTTTCAATATTAGACACATCCTTTTTTAATTGATCATTTTATAATTCATTAGTACACATAACTAGTGAATTTATCCGCGCTTTGCATGACATGAAAAACACAAATAATTTACTAAACTCAAAAATTGATCAACGTTTATCTGCTGCGGCTGCCGCTTTCTTTATGCAGTGCTTCATTCTCTGCGAAAAACCCATATGCAGGATTCTTTTACCTGATTAAAATGAGTCAAGATTATATTTATTCAGGTTTATTATTTTCTTGACTTACAGTATTCCCTGGATACAAATTAATTCCCAGAGATGCGGGGAACACAAAATAGACAAATATGCCCAACATATTTTAATTAGCCAAATAATACTTTTATTTGTCCCAATTTGTTGTTAAAAATTAAATTTGCCATTTCATGTTACATCTTTGAAAAAGAGAAATTGTCATGTGTTATATGATAAACTGTCTTTGTTTTGGTTGTTAAGAGAGCCAAAACAAAGACTTTTCATGTTACATCTTTGACTAATACATGTGTTATTACAAGTGTTAGGACTAATATGAACTATATATAATTTCCAGCATTCATTGACTTGAGAAATATTAATAGTCTTTACATATTGTGTGACACATTGAATGTGAATATATAATAGACAACTCTAAAATTGGCTGAAAATGATTAGGTGACCTTCCTGGAATTGATAACTCCAAAGAGACAATTAAATATGTATGGTAAATTTCTTTGCTTAATATATATATATATATATATACATACTCATCAAACTCTTTGAATAGACGAACAAAGCAAAGATTTCTTGATTTCTTCTCTACCAACTTATTAATTGGTTATTTTAGTGTAGAAATGGGTTATGTAAAACTTGCATCTTTTATGCTATATCCCTTCCTCTGTCAACTTTATTTCTCCGCATCCTTACCTTTTTTGTGCCCCGAAGATCAAGCTCTTTTCCTTCTACGATTCAAGCACATGTTTATAATAAATCCTAATGCTTCTGCTGTTTGTGACTTTTCACATCCAAAAACACTTTCATGGAACAAAAGCACAAATTGTTGCTCATGGGATGGAGTTTATTGTGATGGGACGACACGGCAAGTGATTGAGATCAACCTCACTTGTAGCCAACTTCAAGGCAAGTTTCATTTCAATAGTAGCCTCTTTCAACTCTCCAATCTCAAAAGGCTTGGTTTTTCTGGTAATGATTTCTCTGCATCCAATATTTCACCTAAATTTGGTGGATTTTCTAACTTGACGCATCTTGATTTGTCGTATTCAAGTTCTACCGGTCTAATCCCTTATGAAATCTCCCACCTCTCTAAATTACGTGTTCTTAATATTCGGAGTTATTATCCATATGGTCTTAGATTCGGACCTCAGATTTTTGAACTGCTCCTTAGGAACCTAACCCAGTTAAGAGATCTTCAACTTGACTTTGTGAATATCTCTTCCACCATTCCTCTAAATTTCTCTTCTTATTTAACAACTCTAAGGCTTCCATACACACAATTACGTGGGGTATTGCCCGAAGGAGTTTTCCACCTTTCTGACTTAGTATCTCTTGATTTAACATACAATCCCTAGCTCAGTGTTAGGTTTCCTATGACAAAATGGAATAGTAGTGTATCACTCATCAATTTACGGCTCAGTCATATGAATTTTACTGGTGAGATACCTGAATCATTTGGCTATTTAACTTCACTGTATGCCTTGGACATGAGTTTTTCTAATCTCTCAGGTCCCATTCCTAAACCTCTATCGAATCTCACCCACATAGAGACTTTGATCCTTTGTAATAACAATCTTGAAGGACCGATTTCCCATTTCTTGAGATTTGGAAAGCTCTGGGAGTTATCACTTCGAAATAACAACTTCGATGGCCAACTTGAGTGCTTATCCTTTAACAGAAGCTGGACGCAACTTGTAATCTTAGATTTTTCGTCCAATTTCCTAGCTGGTCCAATTCCATCCAACGTAAGTGGACTGCAAAACCTACAATGGCTCATCTTGTCATCAAACCACTTGAATGGGACTATACCATCCTGGATATTCACCCTTTCTTCACTAACTAATTTAGACTTGAGTAATAACAATTTCAGTGGAAAAAATCAGGAGTTCAAGTCCAAAACATTGTCTTACGTTACTCTAAAACAAAATCAGCTGGAAGGTCCTATTCCAAAATCATTCCTAAACCAGCAGAGCCTAGAAGTTCTTCTCCTTTCGCTGAATAATCTCAGTGGACAGATTTCTTCAACCATCTGCAATCTGAAAACACTAGCAGGTCTAGATCTTGGAAATAATAATTTGAAGGGAATGATCCCACGTCTGGGTGAGATGAGAGCAGTTGGAGTTTTGGATTTGAGAAACAATAATCTTAGTGGGACAACTAAAACTACTTTTAGTATTGGAAACCAACTCAGCGTCATTAAATTGCATGGGAATAAGCTAGAGGGGAAAGTCCCACGATCTTTGATCAATTGCAAGTATTTGGAAGTTCTTGATATAGGTAACAATGAGTTGAATAATACATTTCCAAATTGGTTAGGAACTCTACCAAATTTGAAAATTGTAAGCTTGAAATCAAATCAGTTGCATGGTCACATCAAAGTTTCAAAGAACAAAAACTTGTTTGCCGAACTTCAAATTCTAGATGTCTCATCCAATGGGTTTAGTGGGAATTTACCAGCGAGTCTTTTTGAGAATTTCCAAGCCATGAGGATAAATGATCCGAACGTGAGAACCCCAGGGTATGTAGGAGATACATTTACTATTTATGAGTCTCCTCCTAGAACCCCAGGGTATGTATGAGATACATTTACTATGTATGAGTCTCCTTCGAGATACCCAGGGTATTTAGGAGATCATTTTTCTATTTATGAGTATGTGATCGCTATTAAAGCAAAGGGACGGGATCTTGATTCCGTTCGAGTTTTTCCTAAAAACATAATCATCAATCTCTCTAATAATAGATTTGAAGGTTATTGATGAGTCCACAAATTGGACTCATTTAGTGCTATATTTTAATAGAAATTGTGTCCTTAAATGCTTATTTTATCTCAATATCTGATGAAAACCCTTAAGTTTCAGGTATTTGAAGTTTGAAGGAAAGCATGGACACTATGTCGCAAAAAGGAACGAAAAGGCTGAAAAGAACGAAGAAATGAAGGCCTGAGGATCGCCGAGTCCACTTGGCGAGTTGCCATAGGGTCTTACTTCACCTTTTGTTCCCTGAAGGAAAGGATCAAGTCGGCAGAAAAAGGGAGCAGTCGGCGCATCACCGAGAAGTTCCACGAAGTAGTACCATGTCGCCCAATGACCTAGAGCATGACGATGCTGAAGGCTGGTGCAAGACGGCGATGAACTACACCAAAGGGCGAATCACTGAGTTGATCGACGATTTTGACTAACGACGCCGAATGATCCGTTGCATCACAAATATGTGAAAACTATAAATACTAGTTAGAGTTGTAGTTTTAAGAGTCGAACAATTATTATAATTTTCATATAGAATAATACTTTTTGATATTTTTGCTCTATGTTTGAGAGGTTTTGAAGACTTGAAGATCCAAAGGGTTTCATCTTCAAGATTTGGATTTGGGTCTCTTGGATTCTTCAA